CCCCCAATATCAAAGAGATACTAAAATGTTGCAGACCTCTAGGGGGCAGTGTCTGTCCCCGTCGCTAGTACCCAGAAGTCAACCTTCTGCCCCTCGATTTGCACTAATTCCCTCTGGTCACGACAGGCATGACGATGTCTCCACGATCTCTCTCCCCGGCTCAAAAGTCTCCCCTTGCCTGCAAGGCCATTTTGTTAAAAGTTCTCGCACAGAGTGTGCGCATTTTTTTTTTTTTTTTTTTTTACAGTCCCAAAGACAGTCTCGACCAGAAGGGAAAACCGCCTCTCCTCGCTCTTTTTAAAATATCCCACGCACTCAAGTTTTGTTTGCTTACATATTTCTTTATTTTCAAATTGTAGGCAAGGATTTCCAAATGAAGTTATAAGTTTTGTTACTGTAATTGTGAATTATTCTGATCATGACGGCCGCAATGCCAGTTCACCTCCTCCTGGAAGCCTCCTGCGTAGCATGTCCTCCATACAGCACACGGGCGCGCGCCAGCCGGCTAAGGTTAAGTCCAGGTAGGACGCTTCGCTACGCCCCGCCACCACTCTACTCGCCGGGTAAAACAAACCAAGACACAAGGTGAGGCGGGAGGCGTGGCGTAGCGCAGAGTGGCCGACGGGACGGAGGCAACAGCCCAGCGGGCCACACTTTTTACCCCCCCCCCCCTCCTTTACCTTTCTTCTCTCCTCCTCCCGCGCCCTCGTCGTTTTTTCTTCCTTTCGTATCCTGGACGGCGGGGCGCGGCGCGGCGCGGCGTGGCGGGGCGGGGCGGGGCGGTATCCTGGACGGCGGGGCGCGGCGCGGCGCGGCGTGGCGGGGCGGGGCGGTGGTAGGGCGGCGACCTCAGACCGACGCGCTGCCTATACCTTCGTAGCCAAGCGCATCCCGATCGGGATCACATTCCGCCAGGACGCCCCGGGACGCGGCCCGTGCGAGCCAAGCGTGACCTGAGGAGGAGCGCGTGGGAGACAGGTGCAGGTCGCACACAGGTGGGGCCCCCGGTGGGGCGCAGCTGGGCGTGGAGGCCGTCCTGGAGGGCCTCCTGGTGGACGAGCGGCCACGGACCACGTCCCGGCCTTCAGCAGGACGTTCGGTCGTGGCGTGGCGGTCCGTCTGCCTGGTCAGCCGTCCGCCCGCCAGCGTGCTCGCTGAGGCTGAATGCCGCCGCATGGACGTCTTCTACTTACGCCGATTGCCCCCCCCCCCCTTCCCCCAAAAAGTCACCACCGTCCTCCGCCCGCGCCCGCTCAATCTCGCGGTCTCTCTCCTCTCCCCTCCCTCCCGCTCACACGTAACCGCCCTGGGGTGGTTAAAGTTAAGCTCAATTCAGCTCTTGTTCGCTCGGAATCAACTAAAACACGGGAATACCGAAGGAATGCTTATGTCTTAGCCCCCCCACTTTTATTTTTGCCACATTATTATTTTACCATGCTTTCGAACGATTTCGAGTGAACTCAGCTCCGCGTGAGCTAACGCCCGCGTCCCACGTGGGGCGGGAGCTGAGGACCCCGGTTGGGCTGTCAACGCTCAACACCTCAACACGCACATGAATCATACGGAGATTTGAGAGCGAAAAATGTGACAGGTGTCGAGGACCTGATGCCCTGCGTTTCTACTCGGCGAGCTAGGCTAAATTTAATGCTTTGACTGCAGTGGGGGTTGTTGACTGTTTGTTTCACCTGCACACACTTTCATTAAGAGGAACATGCAGGCCGCCAGGCCTTGGAACCTACGAATATCTCTGAGGCATTTATTTTGGAAAACGCTAGTAGAACGAGATTGAAGGCCAGGGGGGAACAAGTGGGGAAGGGAGTCTTAGAGAGCTTTTCAATTTTCCTCTTAAAATTGACCAGTCTTTCACAAGTAGAACGCTAGCAGCTCAAAAATTGTTCAATAACGATAATGTTAATTCACTTCATCCCCCTCAGTTGCCCTAGTTGCCCATACAGGGATGAAGAAAGTTTGCAGACTCTTCCTCTTTGATCCCTAACTATTGAATGGTTACAGATGGTTAAAACAAATTTTGACAGGTGAAAACGGTGGAAATTTAGGACTGCCTTTGTGGCACAGTACACAACAAACTCATTGTTATCTTCTACATCATTGTTCTACTGGCTCTAAAAAAATTAACCCTTGAATGACATTGAATTTACATCACAGAAATTGTTAAAAGTGGAATAAAATAGACATATTTAAGTACTCACCCTTGGTCTATCCTGTCGACAGGGTTGGGTCCAGGGCCCATTTGCCCAGGCATAAGTCCATGAGACGGCATTGGGCCTGACATAGGGTGGCCAGGCCCATGACCATATGGTGAACCTGGAGGCATTCCGAACTGGGGTCCTCCGAAAGGTCCTTGTCCAGGTGAGGGGAAGTGGGGACCACCTGGTCCTGGGCCAGGGGGGCCCACAAATGGTGGCCCAGAGGAGCCTGGTCTTCCAACAAATTGAGGTCCACCTCCTGATGGAGAACCAAATGGTCCAGGACCTGGACCATTGTAAGGAGGTCCACCCGAGTTGGGGGTAGGAGGAAACCGGGGGTCATTTTGTGGTGGTCCAGGTCCAGGTGTGGATGAACCAGAGGGGGCTGGGGATGCAGTGTACTGAGGGGTGCCTGAGCCAGGTGGAGGTCCAGAATATGGTGGGGCACCCGCCGGGGAACCAGCGCCCCCAGGCGGACCCTGGAAGGGTGGCCCCTGGTACCCTGAGGGTGGCCCTGAGAAGTTTTGCCCAGAATTAGGCGTGAAGTTCTGGGGCTCTGAGCCAGGGGGCGGACCCTTCCAGTTGCCCACCGGATCCTCCAGTGTGGCAGGCAGCGTGCTGGCAGGCGCTACACGGCGGGTACAGCCTGAAAGAAATTAAACACACTCTGAAGCAGACCAACAAAAAAACTGCATATCAAAAATTAAGACATGCAAGTTACAACATTTTATAGGATGATAACCACACAAGTGTCTTTAACTATAATAATTAGAAAATGAATGACAATTTGTCAACGATGGTAGTGAAGATTGTAATGCAAACAAAATAGACTGTGTTTACAAACTGATAACCAGGAGCAAAGTAAAAATCAAGCAAGACACATAAACAAGACATTAAATGAAATTCTAAGGAAACTCCAATTAGAGAAAATATTAATGCAAATTGCACGATTTAACCATTTGAAAATAGAACAGTGTACAGGTTAACTCTAGTACATTAAAACTATTGATCAATCAACTCACTCTTCTTTGCCATTAAGAAGCCTCCCTATCACCGGGCAAGCACTGAACACACTGTAGGTACATAGATGTCCTACAAATCCAGGACGGTTTCCCTCTCGTAGCTCCACATCACAACGGAGTCTGAGAAGCCAGCGCCAGCCTAAAGCCGGGAGCGCCAGGGAGCGCCAGCCAGCGCCAGCCCGGTACGTCCGTCCGATGAAAACAATCACTTCACAATCACAAATCCCGTTTCACAGCACAAATCGAACACTCTCGGCAGAGAACCGAGTTTCTTCTGTCCATCGGCAAATCAAAGTTTGCCCACTTAGGCATTTTCCACAAAGAACTGCACTTAAGAACACAGGGAGGTTATGTTTTCTCCTGCAGCTAACGACGGGCGACGTTTTACAGACGAATTTAATCCACAATCACTTGATTTTTCACAGTAAATTCTCAAATATGAGTCACAATTCACTTCACAATGCAGTTGAACTAGCACAGCACTCGGTTTAATCCATGGGTTTGCACCGGAATACCCATCGCGTCCCTGGGCTCGAATGTTTCTGTCAGAGCAAGACCAGCCGAATTTTGTTTTTACACATGGGTCCTGCAAGCGCCTGCGGGCACTTCACGAAGGCTCGCTCCTCCCGCACCCACGCTGGCCCAAGTACGGCACTCGCGAATGACTAGAAAGAGATTCTACAATCTGAGCAAAAACACTCAGCCGCAAAAACCGCATCTTCCCCACAATTTTTCAGAAATCCATTGATTTTAGGGTCCGCTCGCTGCCGAGCTGCCTCTCGAGAAGCGCAGCAAGTAAACACCACGGTAGTCAAGTAAGAGGTGTGAACTCCAAGCCGACAACGCCAAACTAAGTATGTCCTCCTTTACAAGAAAACATTCCTAATCGTTCTATTAAAAATACTCCTAGTTAAATTTCAAGTTTTGTTTTTTATCCTGTAAAACAATATTTTGGCTAATTTCCGTATACAGAACTACACTTGACCGTAACTTCGCCCATCTAGTCAAGCGACGCACTGTACAACTGACTGGGGAAAAAAAAGGAAGCGAAATGAAGTGACCTGCGTGTGCTCCAGTGTATGGTTGCAATATTGTACTCGCCATTTCGTAGGATTAAAATTTCAAAACCATGTTTAGTTTTAGTAACACTATTTCCACGTGGCCAGAAGTGTCGCATTCGCATGATGATAATGTCTATGCGGTATTAGAGCGCGAGGTCCGAAGACCCGACTGCTTCGGACCAGCTGTCTCAGCTGTCTCTCTGTTGTGTAAAAGGCATTTTTGCAGCTGTATGCATCGGGGTTTACCAAAGTGACTTTTGATTTCTGATGGTAGCTGCCGGGTACTGCAGAGGGAAGTGCCGGCAGAGCCACCAGGCATGCAAATGGTTACTGTGGGGAGTTATTGGAAGGGGCTGCTCGCTGACTGGCAAGGGAATGCCTAAAAAAGGCTAAGTTTGGGTGTTAAAGAGCAACTAATAAACACCAATTTGACAAATTAATTTATTTGGCAATAACAAAACAAAACCTTACTTGTGGTGAAGGAGACGAGACAAATACATGCACCAAATTTTCAAGAGAATTGCAAAATTGCGGAAAACAGAAGTCCTCTCAAATAGTACCCTCTTCCCATTGCCTTTGGAGAAAGGCATTCAGGAATTAATATTATCATAAACAAATAAAGAGACCAGTCTCCTCATCACTATCATTCTCCACGTCATCTGCCACAATCCGCTTTCCCAAAACCAATGGTTGCTTGTTGATTTCAGAGGGATAAAATTCAGACATTTCCACTTCAACAGATTCAAAAGATTTCTCACTATCACCGTTTACATTAGCTGTCATATTGTCATTAGGAGCTACCACATCCTCACCTTCATTATTCACAGAGTGTGGGCCATGTTTTCTTTTCCGAAAATGATTATTTAAACTATTTTTTGAGGTATATGCCTCGCCACAGTCGCTGCAAGTAAAGGACTTCTCAGTCCTATGAAAGCTCTGATGATTGACCAAATTTTGTTTGGTCTTGTATGACTTTGCACAGATGTTGCAAATGTACTTTCTCTTCTCACCATGAATAAGAGAATGAGTATTTAATAACTTTTGGCTCACAAATTCCTTTTTACAAACAGGGCAAACAACTTGTGTTACTGATGAATTATGACGTCTACGGTGCTCTCTCAAGTCGTTGGCAGAGCGATATTTTTTCTCACATTCAGAACACTGATGAGGCCTGAGACCAGTGTGAGAATTTATGTGTTCCAGAAACACAGTATCTTTGTCATAACCCTTCTTGCAAATTGTACATGTGTACCTATGATTTTCATGGTGATCAGTCTTCAAATGTTTTTCAATAAGTTCAGCACTAGCAAAGTTTGCATTACAATATGGGCAACGATAACATTCACCAGAATGGACTCTAGTTAAATGAGTGTAAAAGCTTGCTATGTTCTTGAAATTCTTACCACAGACACAATTAAAGCCAGTAGGACCTCCATGTTCCTTCAAATGTTCCAACTTTTTTGACTGTTTCCAGTCTTTTCTACAAATTGCACATGTGTCTATATCATCCTTAACCAAGAAGAGGCGCCATTTGCACCTACTGAAACAAATAGAAACAGGGGATAAATTCATATATAAGACTTAAAGGTGAGAGGAAAATTCTCCAATTTCTTGCATTTACCTTTTTTTTAAAACCAATTCAGTTTTATCTTTATTTTGCTCTTCAAACACATATCTACAGTAGGCTTTCATAAACTGAATAGGAAACAAATTTAAGACTTCTTCAACTTGATCAATCATACTTTCATCATCCACTATATCTGATAAGTCAATGTCATAAAAGTTCTCTTTCAAAAATGGTTTTCTGATTAATGCCTTACGGGCAATGTCCTTGGCTGTCTTTTCAATATATTCTCTTGATGAACGGATTGCTTTCAATTTTCTTTGAAGCTCCCACTCAACGTCATCATTATCATCAGAATCATCTGATGTTTTGGCATCACCTGACAAATCATTATTTTCTAATTTGTTTACTGATCGGTTGTTTTCCGTTTGGGGTTGTGTAGGATGAGGAGAAAATGGAGAGATGTTTTCAAATGAAATATCCTCGTCTGCTTCTTGCATCAATCCATCTGAAGATCTCACCTTCTCAAATCGTTTTCGTTTTGAAGGCTTCACATTGACACTTGCTTCGATTCTAGCTCGAGTCTGCCTCAGTTTCATTCTTAATAACTTAAGAGACGAATCTGAAAGAAAATTTAACATCACTTGAACAGATTGAGAAATGTATTCAAGAAAACCTACTGTAAAATCTTTGACACATCATAACATTTCACATAGGGAGAAAATATATAACTGTTAAAGAAAAAAAAATTCACATTGTAGCCAAAAATGCAAAGCATTCAAATGAAAATTGGTAACCAAAGGTAACCTTTTGCCTGACTACCGTGTGTACACAAACAGGATTCAAATCATCATATCAAGTCATATCTTGACAAGACGACCACAAGCGCAAAACTACAGCACCAGCATCACCAATTCGTACATTTTGCGTAGCTTGCCACGTCACAAATATCCAGAGAAGTGTTGAGGCCACAAGTGCAGAAAACTAGAAACAGCTTGTGTCAGACGTTCGGATTTCAAGTTTTGCGTTAAAAATACAAAAACAAACATCAACAAAAATACCGCCTTTGCTTCAACAGAGACGACAGCCAGAACTAACTCTTACGTAGCCAGTAAATTTTCATACACCGACAAGCTGACTGACCCCTCCGGAACCGGAAGTACCATAGGGAAAAAAGTTTTTCATTCCCGCTTTTCTTACGAATCTTTAAGTCGCACCACGATTGATAGAGCTTCTCAAGGTGATGGGATATGGATAGGACCCCCACACCCACGCCACGCGTTCTCTAGTAGAGTCACAAAGTATGCATTTGGTGTTAAGTTTCTGTCATTCATAACAATATACTCCAACTTTTCCAATAAGTCATGATAAAAAGAGACAATTGTGTTGTCCACACATTACTTTATTACACGAATAATGCAAACCAAAATGTTGCTTCCGAGACGCAAGAGACAAAGTTTGTCCCTAGGGTAAAAACCTTTACCCTATCTAATAGCAACCATAAATGCGCATCATGTTTGCTAATTTGGTACAAATGTGAAGGCTTTGTGAACCACAGACATAGCTCAGCTGCAAATGCGTTTATTGTTTCCATTAAAGGTCATCAATAATAAAGCACTTTACATAAGTGTTTAGGCTTATAAACATGTCAAATGGAATGATTGAAGGATTTCCATTATGATAAGGCAGTGCTAGTTCAATAACATTTTGTAACTCAAGCGACCACAAAACAATTCCCAACAGTTATATTTTTGCGACTATAACAATTGAGAGTCGGTGCAAAAACTGACATCCACTTGTATCTTGACATACACAAACTCAAAATGTACAAAACCTTGAGTAGAATAGAATAAAAAGTAACAGATACTCTTATCTATTGAAGACCCTCGTACTGAACTTCAAATGTATACATATACATACATATATAAACTTTTTTAAATTTATATATATAGATATATTTTTTCATGTACACATATTTATAAGCAACTTTAACAAGAAGTCCCACGCACAATAACTTTCTATAAATAGGCCTAAGGGTTCTTCCTTGGTGGCAATGAGACATTCTTCTCAGACTAGTGAATCCTCTATTGTTAATATATACATTCAGGCCTTACATGTACTCAGAGGCAGGATCCATTCATAGAGCCTATCTTACCATAACTTACATCAAAAACAAACGGATTCACTTATGGATGAGAAATCGCCAATCAGTTACATGGGAAAAATGGTAACAGTGTACAAAAGAAATAGAACAAATCACATCAATTAATAATACATCAGCTTTTACTTCAAAACAACATTAAAAAAAAAAAAAAAAAAAAGTTGGGGGTAGTGTGGGACATAATAGGAATTGCATAAATGTAAACAGTCACACAGGGTTGGTGAGGATAAAACAAACTGGTCTCCAACGTTCTGCTTCCATAACAAATACTGTGTCATACAACTAGCTATAGACATCTCAATAGGATATTTACAAGAACATGATCATTTTCAAAGATTACACAAGAAAGAAAAAAGACAAACAAAAAAGTTTTACAACAAAAGAACAAAACATTATACTTTCAGTATTCATGCATTTTGCCCTATACATGATCATTAGATAATAATCACATAGCTGGCATGTGATGTTCATTAAAAACAACTCTCAGTCAAGATTAAATGAACTGATATGTTCCTAAACCCTCCACAGGAGGGCCAACTCAAAAAGAGAGTTGAGGGAAACACAACAGCATAACCTTCAGCCAGTCATCATTGTAGCACAGTACATTAGTCTTGTGTGGACACTACCTACTTTAACATTACTTGAACAGAGGTTTACTAATCACTTGGTGATCAAATTTTTCCTACATGGACTTCAAAACAGGAATTTAAAACATTGTTCTTTGGCATTTTTGAGAAAAACGAGCAAATTATTATGCAATTACTTCATTTATCAACAAATAGAATACATGAGTTCAAACAGGAAACGGTAATAGAGTAAGAGAATTTCCTTTAAGCCAAATGTACTGGTCTTGTTTTACAGCCTATCTAACCCACAAACTAGAAAAGTAGGATTTGACCATGATTTAACATATATTAAAACCATGTCACCCATATCATAGAAGTAAAATTACTGGTAACTGGTATTACTACTCAGAGCACTCCGAGCAGTGACTGTATAAAATCAGTTGACAAACACACCACAGATCAAATTTAAAATAAGTCAATTTGGTTTTTCAAAGTCCTTTAAAAAAAAAAAAAAGTAAATGGGATAAGGAAATTTTGCTTACAAGTGCCAAATACAACTTGTACTGTATGATAAAAATTGTGAGTAGATACAATTTTGCAAAGATAAATGGCTACCATTAAAATCAATCACTTGAAACTACACTGGTCATATGTACAGTAATGTACCACAACAAAGAATAACTCAACATGCTTTTTGGTAGCACAATAAAACACACATAAGCACATCAGAAGGATATGAACTAGTTGAAGAAAACTATAGCAAGTTCAGACAGGTGAATACTGTATGGCACATTTCAAATTTTAAGAGAGATAAGAAATTCAACTTAGTTACTGTGAACTGGTCTAAAGAGGCTCAGCAGTAGAAAACAATGGAAAAGACAACTTCTGCCCATGTATTTTGGTCATTAGTGTCACTTATATATGAACAAAACCTAGTAAACAGCACCATTTGAATGCAAACTCAACAGCTTAATACAAAACAAGAATTGATTAACAACCTCTTTAAGGTAAAAATGTGACAAAGAAATGTGACTGTAATCTCTACAATTATTCAACAAGAGGAGGAGTCAGAGGGAAAATAGGCATGTACCGTGGGTGTGTACATCTATGCCTTGAAAAATTCCCAATTAAAAATAAAAAAAAAAAGTTATGAGGGGGGATATTAATCACTAATAAGTCTTCATGAGTGTGACAATAGATTATCATCATTTGGAAGTGGGGTTTTTAGAATTACCAACAAGGGTAATGGAAGTGGAACCATCCTGTAATAATCGCGCAATATCCTCACTGGCCTGAGCAGGGTTTGATTTTAGTTGATGACTCAAAATATTTTTATACAGCTGAAACTGCTCTTCAGTTGGCATGTAATGCTGGGGCGTGGACATGGGTAACCCAGACATAGGTAGTACTGATGCTGCAGCAGGATTATATAGCTGAGGATTACACAATGCTTGATAATACATTAAATCAAGTGCTGGTAAGAATGCATTTTTTCCAGCAGCTGCAGAACCAGTGGGAAGATTTTGGAGTAAGTTAGGAAATAAGTTTGCTGCTGCTCCAGAGAAGTATGGATTTGTAGGAGCAGAAGAAGTAGGAGTATTAGTGCTTGCCCGTGATCTTTGATCATTTGAGTTCCTTCGTTTACTATTATTACTACTGTTGCTACTATTTGTGCTGCTACTATTACTATTGTTGCCTAATACATACGGGGAGGGGATCACAAGGCTTGAAGATGAAGGGGTGTTGTTCACAGAGGGGGGTCTACTTCTACTTGTATTAGACGTTGATGTTGCGACAGAGTGAGGTCTTCCATTTTCAATCCTAGGTGAAGGTCTACTTGATGGAGCAGAAGCTTTTGCTTGCTGTTGTGCTACTCTTCTTTGTTGTAATAACACATTTCTTTGTTCCTGCTGCAGTTTTGCAATTGCAAGTTTTGGATTTTGCACTAGGGTGATTTCTAAATTAGATCCAACAGTGGTACGGCCGATAGACGAGGGAAGCACTTGAGGAGGGACATTAGCTCTGCCAGAATCCCTGATGGGTGCTTGTCTTGGTGGGGGTGCACTAACACTGGGCATAACACGCACTATTTCAACCGCAGGCTTTTCACCTTTCATTCTTAAGTCTAGAACATCTATACCACTGACACTTCCACTGCCACTGCCACTGCCAACAGGCGAACTACCACCTGAGTTTGATTTGTTTGCAACACGAAGAGCTGCCTGAAGTGACCTTGCAATAGGTGGTGTATCAGTATTAGTGCTTGCAGTGTTTGAATTGCCTCCTGGTCTTGGATAGTCTTTTGGGTTGCCATACCATGGTCCACCAAGAGCAGAATTAGCATAAATTGATCGAGACTGAGTTACTTTCGGAGGTGATTGGTCACTTCTTCCATTTTGACTTGCTGTCACACCAGGATACATCAGAAGTGGTGAATTTTTGAGGTCTTGGACGTTTATAACTGTTCGTGGGTTGGCAGGCGATGATTGTGCAGAATCCAAAGGAGAAGCACAGGTCTCTGGAGACCCAGCTTTGGGTGAGCCAAGCATGTGACTTAGATCTGGTGTCACCATAATTGAAACTTCCCCAGGAGGTGTTTCTGGGCTTGCAGCTGGTTTGACATTTGCTGTAGCATCAGTCTGACCTGAACTAGATGATCCAGGAGATCCAATAGGTGTTACCTCTAAGCCACCTTCTTTTAGCATATCCAATTTTCGTTTTTTCAATACAGGGACCATAGGAGTTGTAATATTTTTGATTGGAGTTTCCGACTCAGAATCCAAAACAATAACTTCAGGTGAATGAACAGATCTTGATGGATCAGCAAGTTCTGAAAGTCTTAAAATTGGTATGTTTTCTTTCCCTGTGAGATCCGAAGATTTTTCTGGTTTTAAGCGTATACTTCTTAGAGCTGCTGTTGTTCCCTCTATCAACATTTTTCTTCTTCTTTCTATTTCTTCACCATCCTAAGATAAAATGAAATGGAAAATTTCAGTAAAGACAGTAGATTTATTGCTACATTATTATGGAGATGCAATATTTACCTTTAGATCAGCAGCACTGGTTAATGACTCTATCCAGGCCTCATAATCCTGACTACTTATTCCAGCTCTTGATAGGGCATCAGATCGTAGTTTTCTTTCATATGGAAGAAGTAATCTACAGAAAGAAGGATAGCAATAAATAACAGTTTCACCTGAAATTGGGCTGTTACATAAAAACTTCTTTGTCCTGTAAGCCAAAGATAATTTTGGAGGACTAAAAATAGATTGATAATACCATTACCTTTCATAATGTCGTTTTGAATGAGTAGTTGCACTGGTATTAGCAGGGTCACCACCCATTTCATCAAACACTCGAGGCCACATTCGATTTGCTGATACATTGTCATAACCCCCCAAATGTTGTACTTTAGAGAAAAACTTGTAGAGATCCACTGTAAAGAAAAACAATGAAGATAAGTGAGTGATCATGGTCTGGTCATGAACACAAACTTGAAGTGGGACTCATTAAAAATACTCACTTTCTTTAAATCCTAACATTGGTACTTTTCCAATAGGGGTTTGTCTATCATTCATGAAATGGTGCAACCTATCCAAGAACATTTTCTCTTCCTGGCTCTGGGATTTATGCCTCCGGTTGGGTTGTGAAAGATCGTATTGTAAGCCATTTCTACTCCGATTAGGTCTTTTGTCCTAAAACCAAACAAAACAAAATAAATAATTAGACTTTTCTACAGATACTGTCCTGAGTGAAATTTTATAGTTAGCTTAGAAATGTTACACACTTTTGTTGATGATGATATGGTAGAGAGGGAAGACTCTGATTCATTCGAATCAGTTTCCCCTGGTGATGTGGACTGTTTCTTTTTCTTTTTCTTTGAGCGAAGATTTATTTTGGGGGCTAGATGATTACACAGTAACTCATGCCCTTCGAGGTCAGGATAATCAAAAGTGTCTTTGCAGAATAGAACACGAGTGTCTCTGCAAGGTACTGAAAATCCTCCCAGAGCAGTGACCAAAGAGTTTCTAAGCCACTTGTTTGGTACACCTTCCAGCCGTTTCATAAGGGCTCGGTAACGGCAATAACGAGGAAAGCTCAAAACAACAACTCCACAATTGTCCCATGTTGAGGGATCTGCAAATTAAAATGAATACAGCTTAGCTACACTTAAATATCCATTAAAGAATTACTCAAATTTGTTATGGTGCTTTGTGACTCATGTTTTACCTAATTTAAATTTTTCTTCTTCAATGTCTGTAAAGTCCATGCAGGTATCGCTGAGAGCTTGTAATCTTGTAGTTGTTGGAGGACCATTGCTTAATCCAGAGCAGTCTTTGTCCCAAACTGCTGGGAGACCCCAGCTCCATGATGCATCCTCGGTGAGCCATGTCAGTAAATCCTCACATCGTATGACAACTCGGTCGGATATTGCAAGCACTTCATGCTGAAACAAAGTAAAAAAAGCAAATAAAAAAAATTAATAACAATGAAAAGACAAAAATGATTCATTTAACAAGCTACGTGTGGTTTGAATAAGTAACTATCTGTATAAATAAATATTTTGTTGCAGCCTATAGAAAATTTGACCCAAGCAAATGAGAAAAACAAAAACTTTGGAAGAACCATTATTTAATAGACAAGTGAGTTGGATTTCGTATGGTTCGAAACGTTTTATGGTTTATTTCAAAAGAAAAGAAAAGAAGTAGAAGTGTCAACTTTTCTTGAAAACTCCTCATTTTAAGAAAAGATTCTAATGGCACTTCCAATTTTTTTTTCTTCTTATACGCACGGGATAGGTCCTCTAGTGCATGTTTTTGTATTAACATTCTCTCTCTATAGTAATGTAGATGTAGAAATATTATAGAGAAATAATATTTTTGCCAGTCCATACTTTCACGTAAAACATTATCCACTCCAAAAAGAATCAATATCAATATGGGAGCGAGTGTAACGCCTGAATGATTTTTTTTTAACCGGTCAGAACATTGAGTCCACTTCAAAAACCCATCTCTGCTAGTTCGAAACATCGCCGACAGGTGGCGATAGCGGGCGAGTCGCGATGGTCGCGGTCCGCGGCTTGGCACAGCCCAGCTGGCTCATGGTATGGCATGGCGGGCCAGGCGCAGCCAGGCGCAGCGCACTCGGATGCGTCCCAATGACACAAACGGGACACGTGACTCTAGCGACTCTGGCTGTGCGGTGCGGCCTGGACGGAGCGCGACAAGGGCCTAGGCTTTAGCCCTGGCCCGGCCACAACCAGATAGGGGCGGGCGGGTGTAAGTGCGCCAGGCAGAAGTGGTTCAATTAGAGACAAGTGTGGGCCAGCAGGATGACTGCACACATTTCAAAACATGCGTTCATATTCACGCACATACCTTTGACCTTTTACTTTTCTTATGAGAAAGGGGGTCTCCTTTAGATTTGTCGGGCCGTTCAAAATAAAATAATAACAAATAATAATAATCCCTTGGTGCGTGGCAACAGGGCCATGACATCCGGCGGCAACGTCGCAAGGCACGGCAAGGCAAGACACGGCCCCGACGCGTGCGTGGACCGTGCGAACGAGCATACGTCCTTGCTGCCGCGCGAAAACTGGCAATTGAAAACGCGTGAAAATTGAAGGAGATAGGTAGATGGAAAGGGAAAAGGGAGGGGGGGGGGGGGCGTGCTTAACCCCGAACCCGGTTTACCCCGCGGATGGCGGCAGTGACAGCTGATATCGATTGCTTGCCGAAAGGAGCACCGCCGCACCCGCACCATACGCTGAAAATGTACAAAACCGCCAAATCGACGAATCGCTACATAAGCTCAAGGCGGCCCGGCTTGGCCCACGCACACGAGTGCTAGGCGCCCCGCCCTGCCCCGCCTGCAGGCTCGGCACCCGGCACGGTGCGTTTCAGCGCTGACCCCACGAACGGGGGGAAACTGGCCCGGGAGAGGGGGGGGGGGGGAGATAAGGATAAACGTTAGAGACTCTGTACAGTACTGAGCGAGAATCTTATTTTCAAATGAACCGCAGGAGCAGAAAAGGGGGCGGGCGAGGGCATTAGATGGTACTAGAAGTGGGGTGGGAGGCTGGTGGGAGCGAGAGAGAAAGACGCAGGGTCACGATAAGGGAAGGAGGGTGGGAGGGGTGGGGGAGCCGTTGTTTAACAGGAGGCGGCCAGGACCCCCTCCCAACCACGTCACAACGCGGAATCAATGTCAAGTCGACATAGTCGCAACCAGTCTCAGCGTCGCTGAGCCAGGCTGCATGCAACGGTGCATGGCGGCTGCCAGGGGCGGTCACGAGTACCGCACCGATACAAAAATATGTACGATTGACACCCAGATAAAATTTCAGAGCGGGATTATGGCAAGTTGAGCACATCCTGCGAGGTGGCATTCGGGGATGTGCCATTACGCCTATCACGAGTACGTTCAATGGGAAGAAACGGTCACTTGGCGCATCGATATTTAACTGCGTAGAGGGTGGTGTCCGCTTTCAATGCGTGCACGTACCGCACCGGACAGGGAGGGAGGTGGGCTTGGCGTCCCCCTTACTGCCCGCGATAACTGAGACTCCACATCAAAGGATAGAAAACCTGCGAGAGGGGGGAGGGGACCGGTCCGAACCAAACGGAAGGGGCAGGGAGCAGAGAGGGGGGTGGGGAGAGGGGGGGAGGTCGGCCCCGTGGCCAACCAGTGGCCACCCTGAGCCGAGCCCGACCCCTCAGCAGCACAGCGAAGCACAGCAGCGGTTCCCTGTAACATTATTTATTTTTCCTTCCTCTCAAAATACTTTTCTCTTGCTCTCCGTAGATAGGAAATCTATTTCCCTATTTCCTATTTTCCTCCTCGAAAGAAAACAACCCCAAATCCAGTTTTAATTATTTCTTTTGCTGAGATACTTTGTCATCTTAGTGCAGATAGTGAGAGGTTGTGAAAAATAATAATAAAACAACAATAATCCCCGTCCAGTCCAAGCTGAGCACATCGGTCAGGTTTGGGCCGTTTGGGTCACACTTGAGGCACGGCGGGCCGAGCAAGAGGTGCACAAAGGGGA